GTACTTTTTGCTTAAGTGATGCCTGAGATTGAGCAAGTTTTTTTAGATCTTCTATGTGTTGTCTGTATCTTGCTCGTTTGTCCATTATTATAATTATAAATTTTATAAAATTGAAACGCTTTACTGTAAGTAACTGTTAATACAACAGCGAAACATTTTAGTTGGATCATTTGTAAGTTTATCAAACAAGAAAAAGTTAAATTTATCTTTTGTAGCATTACGGTAAAGTTCAATAAACTTATCTTTTGTCACGCCACCGCATTGCTCGCTTGCAATATTTCTAACGTAAACATTATCCAATCCTGGAAATAAAATAAAACAACCCGTATTTCGCCTAATAAACCTGTCAACATTATAAAATCCTTGAGCGAGATAAACGGAATTACACTGTTTGTTACGTGACAGTGAGAAATATGATCTTATTTTGTTCATCTCCATGTTGTTTAGCGGAATATCATCAAAAACTACTATCTTATGTTCATCTGCATCAAGTTGATTAACTGGAATAAGATCTTCTGGCTGCCTAATTATAAAAAAATCTTCACCAGCTTTAAGATCATCACGAAGCTTGTTATTATATTCGCTTAATAACTCATACTTATCTTGCTGTGGATTGATTGTGTAAATATAAACTCTGTCGTAGTTAAAATTATCACCAAGAAGCAAGTTCATTAGCAAATTTGTTTTCCCCGATCCAGTTCGCCCAACAATAAGATAATGACAATCAGGAAGTTCATTGTTATGTTTATGCTTCACTAGTCTCTCTGTATCAAAGTTTAGTATCGACGATTTTGCCATTTTGTATAATATTAAACTAGTGTTGATAATTTTATCTAGGACAGTAAATAATGAGTTATTATACAAAATTTGGAACATTATTAGGAGATTTATCCACAGGTGACTTAACCAAATATGCAACTCTTGATCGGCTCAAAAATGAAATCAATAATTTACTAAATCTTACCAGCGTAGATCCAGATGAAGTTGTCATTTTCCAGGATAAAGAAGGACGATTAAAAACGAGTGATGTAAAACTGCCAGATATAGTTGTACGAAATCCAAGTGGGAATATTGTTATGAAACAAAACAAGATTACAGATCTTGGAAACCCAACTGAGGACGGGGATGCTGTCACTAAAAAATACGTTAATGATTGGGACGCTTCAATTACTAATGAAATCACAGCGCTCAAAACTGATTTTACCAGTCACGTGAACACATTTTTAAGTTTTCGCAGAAACATAAACAAAATATTAGAGATGAATTTTTTGGAAATCCATCAAATGTTAGCATTACACTCGCTAATATTAACACGAATCTCAATGATATTAACACAAAACTCAATGATATTATTAGTGGAATTCCTAATATTGTTGAGAAAACGAATATGATTAAAATGCCTCACAAACAGATTAAAAATATTGTGTATACTGTTGCATCTGGGTCTGGTACATGGACGAGGGATAATGATAGAGTCATATACACTCCAGAAGTTACCGGTGTGTATAGATTCTCAGTGTTTAGCAAAGTAAAGTTTAAAATATATACCTTAACTTCATTATATAATTCAATTGATAACATATCTGGAATATTAAATATAATATTAAACAAAAATTCTATGGAGATATTTTTACTTGAACCAACTGATGTAAAATTTATAGGTCCTTATCATTGGTGTTTGGAGTTTGTAGCTGATTTATCATAACTATGTAAACAAATATTATAATGAAAAGAAGTATAATTGATTTTAATCATATTTCAAAAGATATTTCAGAACAGGATGTGGACGCACTAATACAATACTATAAATATTATCATAAAAAACTTTGGTGTGTAAAAAAATGTTACAAATACTACAACAAGATCCTTCGAGTAATATCTTATCTACCCTTGTTAATGACCAGTTCTGGTATAATTTCAAGTGGGGTATCATTAAATCCTTTCTTGTTAATCATATCCGCTATTGGTGTTTCACTTACAGCGGCGTGTAAAAAAGTAGAACCAAGACTTTTGATAAAGAAGAACGGTTGTTTAACATCAATTAAAACTTACAAGAAACTACTTGATCAGATCCGGTCTTACCTACGAGGAGTTAAATATAATATGGATGATTTATTACGTGAATTTCGTATTATTGACAATATGTTAACAGACATTCTACCAATGAGGGTTAGCAAGTATGAAAAAAAATATCACAAAAAATATGAGTAACATAAAATTTTATCTAAACTTAAGATATAATATAACTAAAATAATATCATTTTCATTCTAATGCTAGTTTAATTTCCACCTTGTTAACTGAAACGTTCTAACACACAGTTTAATTTTCATCCTGTTATCTTGTGGTAAAACTCGTTTGCCGTCTTTAGAATAATTGTATTCCACACATGCGTTGTTCTAACAAATTAGTCACCTCTGTGTAAAGAGCTTATCACATTCCAACACCTGTTGTTTTGTTTGGTTACAAAATACCTGTTTACAGGTAGTAGTAGGGGGAAAAAAAGAGGTGGGGGAGGGTGAGTCAAAACCCTGTTTTATTTTGGAAAAAAAGGGGGTGGGGTGGGGGATAATTTAGGACTATAATTTATACTTGTTTGGAGGGTAAAAAAACAAAGTGAGTTGAAAACCTGGTTTTCCTATACTACTTACATATTAACTACGTAATCACAATACAGTTTCATAATAAAACAAATATGACATACATGGAAGTTTTTTTATCAACACATAGCTTTATTATTATTGTCAAGTTAATATAACGGCATGAAAACCGTATTTGCATAAAAGAAAAACTAAATGAATAGTGAAAAATAAATCATTTTTAATATACTTCGCGCAATGCGATTTTTTGCGAAGTCAATCATTCCAGCATAATAGTGACGGCAGGTTTCTGCGCCTGGTTCATCAGTGTATGCATATCGTATTGCCATGCTAATTTTTAGCGAGAACAAAATGCTACCGAATGCTGCAATTTTTCAAAGTTGTTCAAATTGTAAGCTCTTGAAAACTTATTGATATCCTGTAAATGCTTATATTCCTTCATTCTATAGATTCAAGATGAGAAATACCTTACCAATGAACAAAGTGTCTAATGTAGTACGAGAGATTTGACAACACTGTCTCCTGTTGACTGTATAAGGGCTGATTATCTCGTTAGTTGTGCGTACTACTATCTATAGTTTCCTGCTATTCACTTTTACATCTTATAGCTAAGGTCTGGAGGTTCAAATAAGATAGCAAGATCCCTGGCCTTGCAAACAGACTTCTAGGGGAATGTATGCCGGTAAAGGATATGCTTATCAAAGTCGAAACTATTAATAATACGAAACGTGTTTTTCTATAAATATACAAGACAAGATGTACATATATACAGGATCGGAGTAAGGGAAGGAGGCACAGATGACATGTGCCCCTACCTCTGTTAATGTCCCCATGGTTACCTTGATTAAAGTTACACGTGTTTAAATAAACCATATATAAGTCTAAACCGTCCAAAACATAGCCAAATAAAGCTATAATAACTTTACTCATACAACCATCCATCCATCCATCCATCCATCCATCCATCCATCCATCCATCCATACATACATACATACATACATGCATACATACATACACACATATACATACGTACGTACATACATACATACATACATACATACATACATACATACATACATACATACATACATACATACATACATACATACATACATACATACATACATACATACATACATACATACATACATACACATATACATACGTACGTACATACATACATACATACATACATACATACATACATACATACATACATACATACATACATACATACATACATACATACATACATACATACATACATACATACATACATACATACATACATACATACATACATACATACATACATACATACATACATACATAGTGATCACTACAGTCTCGAACCGCTCCGATGGCCTAGTAGTTAGTGAGTCCGTTTGGGAAGCGAAAAATCGCGGGTACGACCCCAGGTTGATGAGTCATTCCAAAGACTTAAAAAAGTGGTACCAACAGCTGCTTCGCTTGGCGATCGACATTAGGAGTTTAGTGTTATGATTAGTTGGCCTGGTATCAGGATAATGTGACTGGGTGAGACACGACACCACATTTCTGTAGGATGATGCCCAAGTGATAGACATCACCATAGTATGCCCCTGAAGACATCGTGGTGATATGACTGAAAAATTGTTAAAGCTACGTTAAAATCCCACTGGTTACCTTGCTTAAAGTTACATGTATTTAAATAAACCATATGTAAGTCCATACCGTATAATCCATAGCCTAATATAGCTATAATAATCAGTGCCGTTTTAAGGCATAGGCACCCGATGCACGTGGCGGACAGGGAACAACATGTCGTGTCGGTTGTGTTAGCAGTTAAGTACTATATTAATAAATTTAACAAAATGACAAAAATGCACATGGAAATGCAATGCAGTACTCAATATCTGAGACTGAAGCGAAATTCTTTTAAGGTTAGAATTTGTCCCTAGGGTCCCCAAACTTCTTAAAACTGCTCTGATGATAACTTTACACATATTAAGAATATTTTCAGAACTGCTTTCATAATTTAATTGTAAATCCTTAAGGGCACCCCTATCTTAGGTGCCCCGAGCCGACCAAAGTCTTAACACGGCCTACATACATACATGCATACATACATACATACATTCATACATACATACATACATACATACATACATACATACATACATACATACATACATACATACATACATACATACACATACATACATACATACATACATACATACATACATACATACATACATACATACATACATACATACATACATACATACATACGCACGTACACACGAACGCACATACATACATACATACATACATACATACATACATACATACATACATACATACATACATACATACATACATACATACATACATACATACATACATAGTGATCCCTACAGTCTCGAACCGCTCCAATGGCCTAGTGGTTAGAGCGTCAGCCTCGGATGCGAGAGATCGCGGGTTTGAACCCCGGTCAAGTCATACCAAAGACATAAAAAATGGTACGTTTGGCGCTCAGCATTAGCAGGTTAGTGTTAGGACGTTTCTGCATTATGATGCCCCAACAGCCGCTAGTTTCGAACCCACGACCTCTTGTTTTGGTGATTACATATTCTATTATCTTATGTTCAGTATCATTGAATTCATTTTAGGATATCACTTGCAACAAACCCGGTAGGTCTACTGGAAAGAAATTCGCGTGCTTGGTTTTACCGTTCCCTTTTGCTTCCAGGTTTGACCATGTGATCTCCATGTCAGAATTTATCGCTATAATTTGTGAAAATGATTATTGATATTTTTGGGAAACAATGTTTCAAAGACATAAATATATTGGTATTTCGTAATTTTGCTATAGAAGCCAGGGCTTCAAGTATTGTGGTAGAGATGTCTTACAAACTAAATAAAGGTGCTGTCTTTACTCGAATCGGCAGCATAGTAAAAGTCTGCCTCTTTAACGAAAAAGCGAGCATACATGCAACAACTGTCAAGTTTCAAGTGACAAGTGATCATATGTTTGTATGAGAACGGTTTTTGTTTGTTTCTTTTTGTTATAATGCTCCCCTCTTCCAATTCGGCCCTGGAAGCTGTGAAACATGGATTCGTAATTAAATCAATGAGCCTTCGCTGGGTACCCGGCTTGAAGATACAAGTCAATATCATAGTCCGGTAGAAAGTAAATGTTGTGTCTTCCAAATAATTAATCAGTCATGTCACTTGTATAAAAAAACACGTCATACCCATAACCGACATCTTGCAAACTTCCCCTGCCCTCCACCAGCTGCAGCGATTGTGGGGAAAATGTACGGAGTTTCCGGTCCTTTTTCTAAGACGGAGGATGAGTTATCTGTGTGAGGTGGCATCATGATGGGATGCGGACTTCAGCGGGTGACACCATCAGAGGGATTGACACCAAAGTGACTGTCTATACAATTTTAATTTTGTGCAGGAAGAGGGTTCATGGGGGTGACACCATGAGTTACCTCACTTGGGGACATCAACCCTAATGACGCCACTTTCTGTGTTCCTCACATCTTATATTCTTTCAGAATATAACGCTGCTAGGAGGTAGGTTTTACCCCCATGGTCATCGAATTCTTAGGACAGAGACGTTGATGATTAATACACGAGCTCTTCGACTAGACAATACCTTGTATCTAATATGACATACTGAAGTGCAAAAGAAACAAAGCAAAATGCACCAGTCTGTGCTAGGCGGCTCATATGCAGTCTGGTTCCCTGCTTCTTAGGTCTCACTGGACAGTTTATTTGGTAAATTTTTATCCCACGATGACCTATTGCAGAAAAATTATAATAATATTATATTAAAGATACAAATAAAAATTAGTGATTTTTGTTGAAAGGATACTTGTAAGATTCTAACATAGGTATCAAAGTTAATTCCTTATATAAATGGTGACTTTTATACTGAACCAATACTACCACCAACCCCTCATTTTTTACATTCATTGTTGACAGAAAAGAGCTATATTGAACATTTTCCTGAGACAAGGCAGCTAAAAGAATCAGTATGTACCTTGTTCATCTTTAAAATTCACTAGTACAATAACAAATTAATACACCTTTCATCACCCCTCAACCATCTAGATTTTTAGATATTTACCTCATAAGCCAAGTCGGCTGCTCATTTGCAGCCCAAGTTACGCATTTGATCTCCAATGCTAGTCTAACAGTGACAGGTAGTCACCAACAAGTCAACCCATTTCTAAGCCTAACTCAATATAAATATAAACCATATTACAGATTTAGATTGTGTGTGAATTTATAAATGCTAGGGCTGTGATAATTAGGCTCATGCCTTCTACCTTAAAAACTGGGGATGGGGTGGGGTCAAAATACGAAACTATCCAATGAGACCTTATACTCTCTGTGTTGCACTCGGCAATAGGATTCATATAAGAATTATTAGTTCTGGTTCAAAGCCTACGAATGTAGTCCAGGTCTATTTTTAGAGAATGTTTTCATGTCCTTTTTGTGGTGATACAATAGTTAGATTTAGGCATTCTTGGTATGGATTTGAAGGTAATTGTTTATTCTTTAGAATAAGAGCATATGATGTGGTCCCTGAGCGACTGTGCACGGTGAGTAATAAAGCCTTGGTAATGATCCGGAAGTGAAATCTCTGTTCCATTTCACAATACTTTGTTTTACAGTCCAGCCTCTCAAACAAATGTCATTGAACTTATCACAAGAAATTCACTGTGAGTTCATCTTTGAAGGTACTTTAGAATGAGATATGATTTATTATCTTTTGGGCACAAAAAAAGCCCAGTACTGAGAAACAAATGTAGAGAATATAGAGTAAAATTACTTGTGCTCTGATTCATATAATGGTGTGCATAGCAGAGCATTCTCAGGAGGAACCAGACTAGCTTATATGCACTTCACGTCATCGGTACATGGTGATGCATGTCGCATGCTAACTTGAAGCATACATGGTGGTGTGCTAATGGAATCGGGTCACAGTTAGTACTTCCAGTTCAGTACTCCCGAATGTAGTTCTAATCTATTTTTAGAATTAAAAAATCCTCTCTCATTTTGGAGGTGATAGAAGAGTTTTATTGATGCATTTTTGGTAGGGCTTCAAAAATAATTGTTTATTCTTGAGAAAAAGAGTTTCTGGTGTAGTTGTCTATGTGTATTGCGGCGGCAGTGCACAGTGAGCAATAAGGCCTTGGTGTGATCTGTAAGTGAAATCTGTGTTCTGATGCACTGTTTTGTTTACAATTAAGCTTCTCAAAAAAAAATGCAGGTCAACCCTTGACAAGAACTTAAGCGTGAAGTCATCTTTGAAGATATTTTAGATTAATATATGATTTGTATTGATTGTCACACAGGGGAGAGTTCAGTACATATAAGCAAATGTAGATTATATATAGTAAAATTAATTGTGTTCTATGGTCTAATCGCTGCAAGTAAAGTAAAATCCTCTCATCCTGCATTATGCCAATGGAAAGGAAAGATCGCAGGAAATGCAAAGTAACTGTGATGCAGTTATCAAAGCATATAATTATCTCAATACGACATCGCCAAATGTACATCAAATTGCAGTTTTATTATTGTAACTAATGTAGGCAAAAAGACAACTCTAGCTTCATCAGTGTAACAAGTCAATGTTTCATTGCGAGTGTGTGTGTGTGTGTGTGTGTGTGTGTGTGTGTGTGTGTGTGATTGATTGAAATTTTTGCTTTAACAATTTTCCAATCTTACAGCTACTATGTCTGCAGAGAGGCAGTTTATATTAATGTCTAACACAGAAGCACGATGCCGTGGACATAAAGCATTATCTACCACCCAGTCACATAACCTTGACACCAGGCTGACTGGTCCTAACACTAACATTTTTATGATGAGGGAACAGAATCTAATTTCGCCTATTGGCCCCTGGCAAATTTCTCAAGTTAAGGGTAGGAGCTATGAGCGTTTTTTGAGCTATTATGAGCGTTTTTAGCTATTATTGTGTAATAATTAGAGATGGATATATTTGTGACTCGTAACAGTATGTATGTATGTATGTATGTATGTATGTATGTATGTATGTATGTATGTATGTATGTATGTATGTATGTATGTATGTATGTATGTATGTATGTATGTATGTATGTATGTATGTATGTATGTATGTATGTATGTATGTATGTATGTATGTATGTATGTATGTATGTATGTATGTATGGTTTCATATATGGTAGTATGTTATATGGTTGTATGTATGGTTGTATGCATGGTTGTTTGCATGTTTTACGTTTATATGTCTTGCCTATCGAGAGGTCACGAAAATATGGTTCTTCTTAGATTCAGGTTACAGTGTTGATAAAGCACTCGCCTTATACTGCTGTACACTAAGTACCAATTACAGGGTCAAGATAAATCTTATCAGATTTAAATAATTTTCTCCGTCGTTCTACATTGAGATGAAAGACAAGTCTATACATAAATTTGACGGTCACGACTAACAAAATATTTCGACTCGTAGAGAGTATAAGACAGTCTTGATGAATCATTCCAACTCCAGATCGATACATTTGTTTGGTAAGATATTTATCTTTTTAATTTATTGATTGATTGACTGAGTGGTCTTTAACAGCACATCGACCGATGCAATTAGAGTAAAATGACTTACCAAGACGCACGTCATAGTGACCAATACAGCAGGTCCGGACAGGATTAGAACCATAATTCTTCTCCTTCTAGGTGCGAATCCTACACCCTAGCCACTGATCAATTTTAACATTTAAAAAAATGTGGCTAGTAGTTTGTTTTTTTTTTTAGTTTGTTTTAAAATTTTCTATTAACTATTACAATGTGTTTATGGTGGCACATATCGTTTTTAAGGATTGTATACTTTAGTTCAAACTAGATGCATATTATTATCCCATCTTGAAAAGTAGAGTGTGTGTGTGTATATATATATATATATATATATATATATATATATATATATATATATATATATATATATATATATATATATATATATATATAATAACGGTGTTAGTTTATAGAACAGTGCAACTTCAACATAACCGGAAGAATTTTCTACTTTTAAGTGAAATCATTGATGACACGTTTAAGCTCCTCGATGACCTTGACAGGAAAACATCCTCATCATTCATTTGGTCATGAAGGACTATGCCCTACCCAGTTTTTCTTTTCCTTCCACACCTATCCGCAAACAGGAAATAAGGGCGGAAATGAACCATGAAATAGTGCCTTCTGGAATCAGTACACAATTAATACAATCCGGTGTAGTCCCAGTCTATTTTTAGATCACTTTTTCCTGTCTGAAATTGGTGGTGATACTAGAGTTAGGTTTTGGCATTCTTGGTAAGGATTTAAAGGCAATTGTTTATTCTTTAAAATGTGAGCTTATGGTGTGGTTGTCTGTGTGTATTTCGGCGACAGTTCACATTGAGTAATAAGGTCATGGTGATGATCCGGAAGTGAAATCTGTGTTCCGTTGC